CATGTTTCAGGGACTACTCCCTACTGGTAAGGCTGCCGATCCCCGCCTGGCGCATCAAATCCGCTAATTCCTACCTCCTAACACTGACCTAACCTTCGGTACTCCCTCACCCTTTTTCCTTCCCCCTTAGCCACTCCTCAGCCTCTCTTTAAAACAAAGCAAAATTGTTTTTATTTCAATATGAAATTAACCCAACACAATTTATGATTACCTCCCCCTCGCTACCCCTCGCTGCCTGTTACTTGCTTCTTACGCTTGCTGCCTCCCCTCACTCATTCTCTTTTCACTCTTTTCTTGGCCTCCTCTCCGCCCCTCTCGCCGCCTCTCAATTTTTTTTACTGCTCGCCATCCCTCACTCTTTTTCTGCGCTTTACTTGGTTCCCTCTTAATCCCCCTTGCCGCACCTCGATTCGTTCTTACGCCTGCTTTCCCCCCTCATTCTCTTTCTACGATTAGAGAGAAAGAGAGAGAGAGAGAGAGAGAGAGAGATGATGATGAAAACAAATTTATTAATGCCAAGGTTTAATAAACCGTATGGCAATGTAAAAAAATCCAAAAGGATTTACAAACATTATTATATAAAACAAGCATAAATATACAATATAACAAATTTTTGGCATAAGTAACAGACTATTAGAACAATCAATGAGACGCATTTTCATAACAATTAATATGTTAATATAAAATTTATAAATTAAAATTATTGTGTGTCCAGTAAGTATACCCGCGAGTTCGAGAGAGAGAGACAGAGAGAAAGTGAAAGAGAGATGGGAGACTTTTTTGTAGTTACGTAAAAAGCCAGTCAACCCTATGAGCCACGAAGAGATAGAGCTGCAAAAAATTAAAACAAACAATAGCAAAGTCCATTTATCTATGGTTGAAAAATTTCGTTCCACACGATATTTTTTAACTCAGCGTCATTTTCATTTTTATTTTGTACTGAAATACCATCTTTTGTTTTACATCTCAATAAGGCAACATACATTGGCCATGTAAACCCAATTCTTTTTAGAATATATTCCTACCGTATTAAAAATTTGACCTTGTTATTTATTTATAGTCATTGCAAAAGCTGAAACTAAGGAAAATTTTTCTGTACAAAATTAATGGTAATGAAAGTATATTTTCAGTATTTAAAGTGATTTTTGGTATAAAAACTCGTTGTCCAATTTTTTAACCGGTTATTATTTTTGACTCAAGATTGACTTTAAACAACTTCATTATTTTTAACCTTGCGCTATTACATAAACCATCCGAAATACTGAAATTTCTTATCAACACAACTCCTGCTCCAATATTTAAATTAAGTTTATGAGGTGGTAGGCCTTCACCGATACTGTTTAGTATTTATATGAAAAATTAGATATAGATATTATCGTGAGATTGGTCAACTCGTGTAAATGTTGCTTTATCAATAGTGTAATATTTACTTCTTTTTTTTTTGGTTCCCAATGTACAGAATTTGAATATTCGTTTTACATGTTTTTGACACCCTACAAGACAATCTTTTGTATTCTTGCTCGCATTAATTCGACTTTGTCTTATTAACCTTAGTTACTAAGTCTTCTATCATTCTCAAGCTATTCGCCGCGCTCTGTATCTATCTAAATCCACATTTTCGCTTGTAACTGCATTTTTCTTTGCGCTGCTCAATTAATAGTTGACCTTACATTTTCTTGGTCCGCTGTATTTTACGCTGGGTAACGCTATCTAATCTTACATTATAAGCAGTCTTTTTCTTTAAATTTCTATTATTATTAACTAGCCTCTCGGCTTTCGATCCATTTCATTTTTTTAATTCTTTAATATTTTACATAGACTGCTGATCGGATCCCCGTCTAGTAATTTCAATAATTTTTCTCTAGTTTACTTATTTGTGCCTAAAAATTTCCGTTCTTGAACATCTTTAAACCATCCATCACTAATTCTTACCTTTATATCTTCGCATACAAATATGTGTTCTACTTTTTCTGGTTCCTTTCCGTATGCCCTGAAATTTTTGTCCTGGAATCACTTCTTTCCTGCACTTCCTATATCCCGGCATTTCAACCTTGTTCATTTTTTTTTTATTTTGTCCTTTATCTGTCTATCTTTTCAGTATTTTTCAATCCTCGATTCCTTTTTTATCTTCCTATAGTAATCACAGTAACTTGATTTTTTCATTTTTGACCCATTCTTTAGAGTTTCTTGGTCTCTTTTCATTTGTAGTCCCCTTTTTAGCCTTTCTGCAAATTTACTTGCTCCCTCATTATCAAATAGGCTTTTGATTCCCATTTCATCTTCAAGCTTTTAAAAGGTCACCTCCATAGATCTAAACCACTTACTTGGAACTTTATTCATTGCACATCTTATTTCTTCCTTTCTCATTGTTTGCCTTGTGTATGGGGAATATTCGTGCCACTTCCCAACCGTTCACTAGCTCTGCTCTATTAAATACTTCATCTAAGACTCCCGCTAGTTTCCCAATCCAAAATGAAATTAACCCCTTGAAAACTTTTATTGGTATCCCGTCTTCTCCTGCGGCCTTGTTATTCTTCATTCTTTGATCATACTTAGCACTTTGTTCCCTGTAATTTTCGCATTCAGCGTCTCCTCCAACTCGTGTCTTCTTTCATCGGCCTTTTAATCCCATTCTTATTTTTTGTTCTCGTGTTTGTTTCTCCTAGATTTGCCATGCCGTGTGCTCCTAAAAACGTTCTGAAGTGCTCTAGCCACTCCTCTTTTCTGATGACTTCCTTTTTTTTCTGCCCAAATTGACCTAATCCCCTCAAAAATTCTGCCATTCTTTTGCTATTTTCACTCTTCTCTACCTTTTGTCTAGTTCTTCTTCGTACTGTCTCCTCCTGATTTCCCTGAGTTTTTTCTCTTTGTTTTTAGAACCTCCTTATCCTCTTCCGACCTTAATTTTGCCCATTTTTTTAGTACCGCCCATACTTGCTTTTTTGTATTTTTATCTCTTCGTCCCATTCTATTGATCATTCTCTTTCTGATTTTTTGATCATTTTGAGTTTTCTACCTACCTCCCAAATTTGACGCCCTTGCGCACACGCATGGGTCAGGTATTGCTACTAACGATATCGTTGATATTTTGCAACTTATAGAATCAGCTGATTGACAATGTGGCAACGCCGTGTGTTCAAGCAGCTGCACCGTTACCTTCTAACCCTTTAGGGGTACTTTAGAACTTATTTTCAATCAACTCTCATTTAAAAACTGTTTGACCTAAAAATATAATTGAAACTTGGAATGCTTTTCCCGGCAATGCCACTGCTATATATCAGCCTGTATAGCATGATATTTTTTTTGTATTCCGAATGAAGTTTGCTAACAATCTCCAAAAACTATAAAGGCCTTAACTACACTAAAAAAATTATGGCTGGCACGAGCTGCCAACGATAAAAGTGCACGCCAACGTCTTTAACGTAGCTGGAATTAACTTCCAACGTTGTTTATGACATGCACTGCGTGTAGTATATCGTACGTACCACGATAAAAAGTCCTAGTATGGAACACCGTTGGAGCGAATAAGGACCATTAGTGACGAGGGTGACAGCCATAGAGCTGTTTTCAAGATTCGCTTGTGATACTGATACAGAACCATACATGTGTAAATGCCTGATGGGTGTGCCTTGGTAGGTACAGTAATCTGCTAATTGAAATGCTGCGGAACTACCCAAAATCATGGAGTAGTAGTACTATATGAGAATGGTAATTCGTTCCCGGAATAGTTTTTCAAGGGCGAAGAACCAATCTATGTATAATAACGTCACATGTAATCTTACTGTATTTCTTTTTCTGTTTTCTTTGGTTTCCTGATTCTTTCAAAATAAAACAAGTCAGTTATAAGCAGCTGTGAAGCACTAACATAACCGTAAATTAAACTAAATTTCTTATTGTTAAACTTTTTAAAGTGTAAAAATGATAATTGCCAAATTTCTCTCTTATAAACAGAACAACATATTCAGGAGTAAAGAAGATACTTGTTGAAACGCGTAACAACTGTTTATTACTAATTCTGTCTTATCATACTACTCCAACTATTATTCCTGCCCTGTGTTCTCTTTTTTTGTAAACGTATTTATTGGCAAAATGATTGTGAGCAAATAGATCAAGCGAATGTCTTACTACTGCTTTTTTTTATTAAACCCCCTCTACTATGCTGCTTTGCTACTTCATTCAATTGTAAACCCATGACATAATAATTACTACTACTTTTTCTTACGCTGAAGTTTACTAAAAAGTATATGGTCACAAATATGTATTGTATACAATATGTATTTATACATGTCTGGAAGCGATAAATTCTTAGTTAATTATTCAAGTGGTTGAAAAATTATTTTTATTGATTATTCTTGTTATACTAATACATTGACACAAAACGACAATTTATATTTTTGGAAACTCACTGATCTTATTGCATTTTAGTAAATAGATCGTTCTGAAAAATCACTGAAATAACTTCTCAAAATTTTGGATCTTCCTCATTTGATAAATTCGGATAAAAAAAGACTTCTTTCTTTGTAGCTAAGCTAGTTAAGAATTGAAGACTCAATTAGCATGACCTATACTGAAATATGATTTTTTTGCGGACTGTGAATGATTTTCGACAAAAAATTATCTTTTGAAATGAATTTAAGCTTACAGTAAAAAAAATATTAATATAGTATTTTTTTCCTTATAAACCCCAGTAAGAATAAGTGAGACACAGCATGCTTTCAGCTAGTTTTTTCTGGATCATAAAGAAATACCATTTTTAATTANTGTATATATATGTACACGTTTTATATGATTATATATATATACATAATGTTGTGTAGGTGGATGTATATACACATTATATACAACGCCACGTCTCGCATCACCTGTGCGCTTACAACTATAAGGCACTCGCGCATACATCAGCTTTTATATATATCATGAGATTAAAAAAAAAAAAAAACAATTCCTTATTCCGCTGTAACTTCCAGAGAACCTTGAAAAATACAATTTCCTTGTTTCAGGGAACAATACAATATATTTTTTGTGCGGCCATTTCAAAGATGATTGCGTCAACCGTAACCTACCCGTATCAGGTAATAAGAATTCGACTGCAAGATCAACACCACAACTATAAAGGTACATTGGACTGTATCAGATGTATATGGAAGTAAGAATTATTGATACTTAGTTTTCTTTACTTTTCGGTCTGTGTATAATTGTATACACGTTTATAGAAAATTTATACTCCTATATTTTACTATTGTTTATCTTTGAGTTCTAATGTTGTTATTTTCATAATGATATAAT